TATTGAGTTCTTGATAATCCACAAACATCTGTAAAGATCCGACTTTCTTCTTCACAAATAAGATAGGAGTTCCAACTGTAAATTTAGAATAGAGTATGAAGTTCTTTGCAAAGTTTTCATCAAAATACTCTTTTAATACAACAAATTCATTCTGCGATAAACTATAGATTGGTTCAAATGGTGGTTGAGCTCTTTCTTGCAAATCAATTGAACAATCATAAGGTCGATGCTTTTGAAGAATATCTACATTTTTCTTTTCAAAAATGTATTGGAATTCTTTATATTGGCTAGGAATACCACTTGATGTTTTTTCACCATTAGAAATGGACATAGTATATATAACAAAAGATGATCTTTCTTTTGTAGCATGCATGAAAGCTCTTACACTTATCAATAAAGGTTTGGATGTACTAGAATTTTGTGCTTCTATTTCACTAACTCGATCCTAGATTATACTACTAGAAAAGTTAAGATTACAAAAAATCCAATCTATTTGAGGATTATATTTTTTTAGACATGATAATCCTAAAATAATCGGATTGGAGGGAGATCTTATTACATTAAGTACTACTATATTATTATGATCTTTAATTTTTATATCTAAAAGAATAGTCTCATAGGTAACATTTCTAGAAGACAACCAATGACTATTTATGACTTCTACATATATGGATTTAGTTTTTTTGACTAAAGGTATTTTTTGATTTTTAACAAAATCTTTGTCTATAAAACAGGCTGAGGCTCTTGAATCTAATAAAGTAAAGACTTTGTGATCTTTAGGTCCTAAACGTAGATTTATTGTTAAATAAGGTGAAGGGACTGAGGAGAGAATAGAACCTTTATTAGGTGTTGTACATAATTCTAGTTGCACGATTCATATTGTAGTTGAAAAAACTCATTTTTTCATACATTATCTTCTTTGGTAATTATTCTCTTCATTTTGTAATTGCATTGCTTCTTTGGAAAGTATTGAGCTATATATTTAGATTCTCCATAATATAAATACAAACCCTCTTGGTGATGTCGAGTCTTTTTTTTGCTCTATGAGAGTTTTAAAACGTATTGTATCAATTTGCATTGATTATGGCCTTCATGAATATGTTTCAGAAAACTTGGAAGCTACTGCCATTACTTGACTTCTTCCTCTCCAGCCAAGTCTTTATTCTTGACACCTTTTAAATAATCAATTATTGTATGAAATGGTTTGAAGAATAAATTATTCTAAAGATTTTGTTTTTGGCATTATTAATAATAAATCTTTGATACTATCCTTTAATCCATATCAAAATTGATTAATGAGTGCTTTGTCATTCCAGTCCACATCTCAAGCAAGATTTTGAAATTCAGCAACATATATGGTGGCTGATTGTGATTCTTGTCATAAAGATAAGAGTTTGGTCTCTGTTACTTGTTCTTGATCACTTTCTTTGAATATTGCTGTAAACACTTCTAGGAATGAATTCAAATCATAAAAGATTTATAGATCTTTTTCTATTAAAGATTCAAACTAAAAGAGAGCACTTTCTAATAGAAGTGTGCCTATGAATCCAACTTGAGTAAATCCATCAAGATATTGAAAATTGTACAATCTTAGATAGAGCTTGACTTGTTGTAAAAATCCTCAAAATTTTGATCTTGTTCCATCAAACTTCTCAAGCATATTAATCCTCGTCCCTGCCATACTTGTAAAAGCAAAACTTCTTGGATTAGGTTGTGAGGTTGATCTACTTGCTTCTTTCAATTGCATAACTTCTTGCCACAGACTTTGAACTTCTTCTATAGGTGTAGGCATAGAACCTCCATGATTCACATTAGAAATACATGAGATTTCCACTCTAACAGTATCGACAAGCTCATGAAGATCTGTAATAGTTGCAAATCTATTCTTACTTTTGCTAGGTGTAGCATCCATAATCTTTTCTTTGATAGGCAACTCAAACAAATCCAAAAAGTTAAATTAGAGGAGGGTAATCCGCAACCTCTCATAAATTTTTTCATAAAGAGGGATAATCTACTCTCTTTAAAGAAAGATCAATGTTAAAAAATAAGATTTTTTTGTTTAAAAGGTGGGTAGTCCACGACCTTCAAAATACAACAATAGAAATGAAGTAATCCACTCACTTCTAAATCAAGACAAAAAAAATATGTTAGCACTCTTATCAAATTGTAAGGGACATGAATCTCAAAGAAAGAGAATCCTTGATACACTCTTGTATCTCTGAAAAGAACTAAAAAGTCACTTAAAAGATAATGTAATATTAACTAGAATGGCTATTGTAAAAAATAAGAAAACTAGAAAGTCTTGAAACAAGACTAAGGACTAGAACGGCATTGACAAGAGTGAAGAAGGCTTCACTCTTACCTCCATATATACTCTTAATTAGGAGCTATGTGGAAATATCCTATAGAACCTCCAGAACATATTGACTTTGCTAGTCACATGTCTTAACTTGCAACACAAGTTATCTATATATGTGCCACATGGTTAGCTTGTTCCACAAGCTATTATGCAGAGTTAACTTGTTCCACAAGCTACCAACATGTGGTTAACTTGTTGGCCAAGTTTTTGACCTACAAACATATCTAAAGTCAAACCGTATCTATGAAGCTTCTAGAAAGCTTCATTAAAAGACTTTATGAAAATAATCTATATTTACCTATTTCTACCTAATCATATAAGAATTATTGAAGTAAATGTATATATCTATAGCACCAGCATATATTGATATTAAAATTAATCCATCAATATTAAAAAAAGATATCTTATGCCTTAAAGGTAATAATCTTTACATGCCAATGTAGATAAAAGTTTGTAGCAAGGCTTTTGATATATTTAGGAATAGTAATATATTTTGATGGGAATCTTTTTAAAGGTATGAGGGTTGTAAGTTTTTTTTTTATAAAAATCATATATTTAAATGATGAAAGGTAAGATATGAAAGTTTATGTCAATATAAGTTTATGACATTTATTTTAAAGAATGATTGTTGTATTTTATTCCTTCATCAAAGTACAATGGATAATTATATTGAGATGTTGGATAATCTAAATAAGATTAAATTTTTTCCAGCATATTTTAGAAAGTACAAGGAGAGTTTGTAATTAAAAAATCTTTTGCATAAATAATAAATATTTTATTTCTTTTTAGATTCAGTAAAAACATGAAATCTATTATAATAACTTCAACTATAAGAGAAATGGAATTAAAACAACTATAAAGTGGTAAAAGAAATGATTTCTAAATGGTTTGAAAAGAAAAAAGATATTTTTTTATCAAGCCTATATTTTAAAAAATCCAATTGAAGAAAAAAAATAATTTGTATTAGTAATGTAAACAAAAGTCATGCTTGAAAGGATAAAAGAAATTACACCAAACTTGGCTTAGGTTGTAGATTTAATATTTAAGATCAATCAATGGAATACTTACAAATGCAATTGCTTGGAAGTATCATATTTTTTGTGCTTATGGATTTATAAAGTAAGCTTTTGTAATTAATATCGAAGTTTTAAGATGTTAGCATGCTATAATCTTTGACTTGACTTGGAAATTTGACAATCCCAGCAATTTTAGCAAATAAACTTAATAGTAGAAATATTCAATGATCAATTATAAGATTTCAATAAGGTTTGGTGGTACTAAATTAATATGATTTGTGGTTGCAACAAGCCAAAGATTGAAGCAAGTAAAGCATCGAATAAAAGGAGGCAATTGCTTGAATCAAAGAAGAATGAGAGGTCTTTAAGCTAGTAGCTAGATCAAAGACTAGTGCATCCTACTTTTCTATGTTGTATTAACTATTTTATTGTCTTATTCATATTACATAATTTAGAATATTTAAAATTAGTTTAGTAAAGGTTCTATTAATATTATCGATAAAAATAGTATCTTATAAGATACAACCAATTTGATTGATGTAATTTGGTGAGATTGAACAATATGAGATATAATCATATAAAAGATTGTGTAACAAGACAAAAGCAATATCAAATGATTCAAACAACTTTGAATTAATAAATTACATATTATAATAACAAAGTTGCATCTAACAATTTTAAAGTAGTGCATTAAACAAAATAAAATTTTCTTTAGAATCTATTTAGCCAAAATATAATATAGTTTCCAAAATTTTGAAAAAGGATAAAATTGTGACAAAATGGTTGGATTTCAAAAGTATCACTAAAGGTGCATTATTGCATTGAATTATTGCAATAACATTAACATTGATGAAAAAAAAACTTATATCTTGTCAAGATTAAATCATCCACACATCATTAAGATGCTATTTTATGGTTGTTGTTTTGAATCAAATGGTGTTAGAAAGTATTTAATTGATGTAAAAAAAAGTACCAAAAGCCTTTCAAAATTGTTATTTGATGATAAAATCTCAAAGATGGCATTGCTAAGCAAAATTGATGTAATGATACATAAGAAGAGAACAACAAGATTAGTAGTCCCAAAATATTCTATCGAAGTTTTCAATTAAACTTTGATAAAAGAAATACTAGAATAACCAAAGAGGAGTTTCAAAATATTTTTTGTTATTTTTTATTTTTATTTTCTTTCTTGTTTATAGTTTTTAGAGATTACAAGAAATTTAGATTTAAAAAAAAACCATGCCTCTATTTGAATGGCTCTAGATGGATAACAATTCATCTTCTAATTTGAAACAAATCTGGTATCAACTCAATAAATGAATAACTACTCTAGTAGTGAAAAGAATCACAACTATACACAATAAAGAAAACCAGCGAATCCCCATTTAATTAAAAGCTTCACATCTTACAAATTAGGAATTCTATTAAGATTGAAATTAGAAAAAGGAACCAAGAATAGGCAAAAACATTAGTTTTCTAAACTTTAGGGAACAGTTTTGTTATAAAAACAGTGCTATTACGAGCTCGTAATGCCCGCTCCAGACAGCCACTCAAATTCTGTCGCCGGCATCTGGCCAGTCCCGTCTCCCATTACGGATCCCGTTTTGAGTGTCAGACAAAAAGCTCATCTCCCCCAATTCGAATGAAATCGAAGTCCAGAACAAACCTTGAGTTCGAAGCTTCGCATTCGTACAGAAGCGGAACAGCCACAGCTGCAGCAGCAGCAGCGAAGGGAATCAGCAAGACTGTTGGTGGTGGTGCTGCTGATGTTGTTGATGAAGCAGAGTCAGGGTTTGATTGAGGCATGGGAAGCCCGGTAGTAGCCTCATCCATGACCGCTTTGATGTGCATCTGGTGTCACGACCAGGTCGCTGCTGTGTCCCAGAATCAGGGCATGGACTTTCTGGATCCGGGCCGGCCAATTGCAATGAACTGTTCCTTGTTTCTTTCCTCCGCAGGGCTATGAAGCTGGTGTGGTGTTTGCAGCAGCGGAATTTTTACACAAGGTCGGTAAATTATCCTCTCTTTCTCAGAGGTAGGGTTTCGATGGATCGGTGTTGAGACGGTTTGAGGTGTCGGGAGTTTGATTTTGGTTGTTTGTTGTGTGGTGATCTTGGCGTTATGTGTTGGGGAGTAATCTGTGCATTAGGTTTGTAGGGTTGGACGTGCTCGACCTTCGAAGGTGCTTGGCAGTGTTGATGGCTGTGCCATTTTTGCTTATATGCCATGTGTGCAGAGTTTTGTGGGAATTTAATGGGAGAATTTAATCGTACGTTGCATGGAATTATTTCAGTCGGTTTTCGCTGAAGTTTTTTTATTTTTTATTTTTTATTTTTTGTTCCCCTCTCCGCAGATCGATTCAGCTGTAGGATTTGGTTTAAATTCCGTTGCATTGGCCGGTGTTCTGAGTTTCGCTGATTGAATTCGTCAAGTGTTGTTAACGTCGACTGGAGTCCAGGTAAGTTGTGGTCGAGAGCTTTTAGTGTTGTCTATTCTATCTTGTTGCTTCCTTGTTCATGTCGGAGATATGTCTTTCCTTGTTTCGATTTTTTTGCGACGTTGTGGAATAGAACATGTAAGTTGAGGGGTAGTGTGCAGAATTCATCGACTCCAGGAAGCATGTTGTTTTACATATTTCGTTACAGAAAAATGAGCGTCGTTGTGCTTTCTATGTCTCCTTCGCATGGTAGTTTGCACGGCTATTTTTGAGAATTGTCGATTACGTATGCATAGAGATAGTATGTCATCCAATTAATCTGCAGCTGGTTTGTTTATTCTGCGGACGAGATCGTCCAGCTGTTGCAGCTACAGCTGTAGTGCCCACTGAGCGAACAATTTAGAAGCTCACTAATGAAAGTTTATTGCCAACTTCAGTTTCATATCCCCATTAAGCTTGAATATTTTATATTGACTGGATCCTTCCGTGTGATACCAAATGAAATCTTTCTGTTCTACTGGTACTTGTAGTGCGGTAGTTTTTCACAGTCGCAATAACAGTGTTCACTGCTAGTTCTTTTTAGAGAATTTAGGCGACTTTTTTTGGAAAAGAAGCGAGTAAGAACCAGTAAAGATTTTTACCCTGACTTTGTTAAATCTTCCGACAATTTCCTGTTCTAGTAAAGGTAATGGAATACATTTATCACGTGTAAAATAGGAGTTAACTCACAACTACTTCACGTTTGTGCATCGGAAGAGCTCCGATCCTTCATGATCGCATGCTTGTATTCAAAGTGTACGAACATGGATGCTTGTTTAGTATTTTCTGCTCAACAATGCTTTCATTTTTTTTTTTCTTTTTTTAATCAGTATCTCAGTCACTCCTTGAGTCTTAAATTTGTTGGTCTTGAGCAGTGATGACGGAGATAGCTGTTTGCAGTGCTACCGTCACCAATAATTCGTACTTCAACCAGTTTCCTTCAAATCAGGAGTCATCATAGTGTGAATTGTAAGATTTGTCTACGCAGTCCAAGGCGCTTGAGGGAACTGGAAACATTGGTTGGCAGAGAGATTATTCTCACATTCGCAGGTTGGTCAACTTTGAGCAAAAATTCAAAAAATTGCAAGCTTGACGGTTCTTGAGTCTTTGTCGATTCAAGAAATACTATAACATATTTGAGATACAATCTATTCTTCCAAAATTGTCATCATTCAACGTGATGGCAAGAGAGATCGGAAGTCCCGAGAAACAGGCAGAGTTTTTGAAAGACCAAGGAAACCAATATTTTAAGAAGGGGAAGCTTGGTGCTGCTATCGAGGCTTATACCCAGGTCTGTTTAGATGTCACTTTTACAATTTTGGATACTTGGCAGCTACACTTTGACTTAAAATGGAAACATCTTCCGAAGGGGATTTCGGTAATTTTATTCCTTATATGTATTTTGAAAGCCTCAGCGCTCTCATTGGCATGATGTAGCCAACAGCAAGTCTGGAACTAGTCTTGGGAAGAACCTCCTGGTGCATCTACCTTAGTGGGCTTTTACAGTCGAGGAACTTTGTCCGAAGTGCCGTGTGATCTTTACAGAACAACGATGTCCCCAGCTTAGCTCCAGTTGATGCCTCCGAAGATGCTAATGTGTTGCGTTTGTACGAATGCGTTTCCTCTATCCATGGCAGGCTATAGATTTGTGCCCAAAGGTTCCAGCATTTTGGACAAATCGAGCCCTTTGTTACAAGAAACGGAGGTAGGTTAAATTCTTTTAACCCCATTTTATGTACTCTGCCCCAACAATTTCATGTAGTTGTACTTTGATTCACCGAGTATTTCCAGTATCTCAAGCATGGATTAGTAGTTCGCAGTAGTTGTTTGTATTTTGCCTAGGTACGCATCCAGGAGGTGCAATTTACTGCCAGCTGTATTGATTTCATTTTAAAATTTTTAGATCGATCTGATTTTTGTAGTGAATGGGATAAAGCCGAGAGGGATTGTTTGAAAGCACTGAAGCTTGACAATAGCTTAACAAAGGTGTGTATGAGCAACATATTCTAAACGTGTGGGTTAGGTCCTATCACACATCGCATGTATTGCGACGCTCACAATAAATTTGTGTGCTGGTGTATGTGTTTAGTTTGTGGGCATGTATTTTCACATTCGATGTCTTTCTGCATGCAACTGGAATAACCTTAACGATGAAAGAATCGGGCATTTGTAGATTGGAATTTCTGGATATGATGCTGCTTGAAATTTCAACCATGTCGCAGCTTTATAGGTCTACCTCAGAAGGGACAAGTGCGAAGCATTTCCATAAATAGAAAAGTCCTTTTTTAGCACTGTCGATTTGATCAGTTGATGAATTTGTTATTTATCCACCTTGCAGGCACACTACATATTGGGGTTGGCTCTGTTGGAACGAGAACAGTATCATGATGCTACGAACCATCTCGAAAAGGTACAATTATTACATACCATGTTAACTGATATTTGTATGTCGAACAAATTTTGAAACAAGAATTTGTTGTCTATTTCTAACTTTTTGTTTTTTTATCTCGAGGAGATCGCATCTTGAAACAGGGTCACATGCTATATTCATAAATGTCGTAACATTCCCTTGTGGAACTGCAGGCGTTGGATTTGGGAAGGGGAGGCAGCGCAGGTAGTTACATGGTAGAAGAAATTTGGCTTGAACTTGCAAAAGCTCGATACACAGAGTGGCAGGTTGAAGCCGCAAAAAGGCAGCGTCAACAACGTGAATTGAAGTAAGCATACATCTTATAGTTTACTCGAATATTTATATGTCACTCGGTGCTGAACTGAGGTGTTTTTTAGCCTTGTCGCAGAGAACTGGGCTTATGCTCAGTGACAGAGTTCTACAAATATTCAATTTTCTCACATTTTCTGAGTTGTCTGTCTGAGTGGAATAGTTCAACCTTGAGGAGCTGTAGTAACTACTCACAAGATTAGTAGGCTGTTTTTATGAAGTGTCATAATATCGAGGCTTGTGAGATGCGCAGGGATTCTCTATTCGATCTAATGATGCAAGACTACGAAAATAAGTTAAGGGATTTAAAATTAGAATCATCAACAGAGCAGGCACAGTTTGGCTACAGAGATCCAAATAGAGTCAGTCATTTGACTGATGAAGAGGTGAGTGCTTATCATATTGAGCGTCATCCAGTTAAGGAATCTCAGGTTACTGCTGAAGAGCGCCGTAAAGCAGAACTTTTCCAACTCACCGGAGATTTCCAGGATCGTCTTCGAACAATGGAAGAAGTGTTTGATAAAGCTGGTGCTCCAGACAGGCCTGGTGAGGTGGGTATTATTGATCTACTTCGTACTGTCATGAACATTCTCAGAGACGTGCAATTTCCTTGTGTTTTTTAATCTGACTATTACATCAATCTTTTACCAGAGTGTTTGAGACGCATTGTTTTCAAGAGATGGTATTGCTAACCAATTTGGGGCTGACTTTTCAGGTACCTGATTATCTGTGCTGCCAAATCAGTATGGACATCTTTAGGGATCCTGTTATCACCCCGAGTGGTGTGACATACGAGAGATCCATCCTTCTGGAGCATCTTTGCAAGGTGAGTGCAACTCTTTTCACATTGCGTGTGTGAAGGTTTGCCCTTTGTAGTGCGCAAATTATCGAATTTCATGTACTTCCTACCTTACTTTACTGAGATATTTTGACGAAGAAATTATTTCATACCTGGTTGTGAGATCGTGAATTCTTGTTGATTGTTGTTTTTATTGTAGCAATGTAACACGTTGGTTCATATCGATGCAGGTCGGTAAGTTTGACCCAATCACAAGAGCAACATTGCACCCAGAGCAAGTAGCTCCAAATTTAGCTGTCAAAGATGCAGTGCAAACTTTCCTGTCCCAGAACGGTTGGGCATACAAAATGTAGAATTGATAAGCTAGCATATAGAATTGATCTACGATCAAGCGTGGTATAGAGTAGACATCTTGTTGCAGTTGAGGTGCATAATAGGGGGCGAGATATTCGATTATTTCTAGCATAATTTTTGAGGTGGATACTAAGTTTTCCAATGTTTTATGAGGTTTTCACTGTTAAATTTGTAGGGTGTGGTAAAAGCAAGGTATTTTGGTATTTCGGATTTTAGCCAAGGTTACGTATGCTAAGAAGTTTGATTGGGTTGTGGTCTTTCTTCTACACTCTGTGAGGTAATATAGCATTGGGTGCCAAATCCTATTGGATGTAGGCAATTTAGTTTGGTTAGTGGTTTTTCATTCATTGAGCCTTTTTTATTAGTTGACATAGTGTCAACTAAGGTTTGAATATTTGGGTGGAAAAAAATCCTTGATTTGATGTCTTTGTCAGGTCAAGTCTCATATGTGATATTGAAAGAGGAAATTTGTGTTGTAAGGGTTTGCTTGGCTATGGTGATTTAGTCATTTTAGTAAAGTTTTAGGATTTTTTCTATTCACATTTGCATTCTTGGATTCTTCTTTTGCAATGTAAGAGGTAGCTTGACTTATTTATGTATAAATTCATTATTTTTACTTGACAAGAATGTTTGTTTTTCTTCAACTTGTGGTATAGTAGATTGAAAGAGGACAATTTTTTTTAAAAAAAAAAAAAAAAAAAAAAAAAAATCTCTTGTTTTATATTATGTTCCATTTTATTTGTTGGATACTGAGGTTGGCTATAATATTGAGGCATTAGAGGTTGGAATATTATCAGGATACGGAAATGTATCATTGATACTTGATAGTATACATTGTAGTATAAGGCATCAAAGTATGAGAGGAGCAGAAGTGGTGGATTGTGACATTAGAAGGCCGTTGCAATATAGATGATATTAGAGTGGATTATATTACTTGATGCATTGTGATGAGGCAATAAGCAGGGATGCAATGACTTCTCAATGTGAGCTTGCAGGTATAGGGACAGAATGGCAATGCATCAAGGTGAGTTGGTATGAGATGCAATGTTGTTTCATTGTTATTTTGTTTTTGTTTTGTTTTTGGTGTTAGGTTGTGGCAAAGAAAGGCAATGCAAGAGAGCATGTTGTAGTGGATTGTTGTCAAAATAAGGCTCTAGTATAGGTGTTATCAAAGTGATCTTATCTACCTCTGCAACCCTTTCTTCACTACATTTGCACTATGAGGTAATTGTATTGTGTTTTTTTTTTTGAATTTTTTTTTAAAAAAAAAATCATTCCTAAAATCCATATTATATAGTGATAGACCTTGCATGATAATAGGCTCAATGTGGAGATAGGTCCTATAATCACAAAAGTTTGGTCATAGGCACACATGGTGATAAGTTCTACATAATGAATCATGCATCAATTGTAGGGCTTCACATTCATAGGAACAATTGGTGATAAAAGCCTTGTGGCTATAGGCTACTATAGTGATAGATTTCTATGATCATAAGATCTGTGTGGTTATAGATAATCATGTGCAATAATAAGGCTCAATATTTATAATAATAATAATAATCATAATAATAAAAACATCTAAAATTTTTATCTATCAATTTTTGAAGTTCACTCTAAGAGCATATAAAGTCCAAACTTGACCATTTTTGAATTGTTTATATATGGAAGATACCTAAGGAAGCTAATGTCATTTTTGGTTATAAAGTTGAAAATTTTTGGAGCATTGAAGTGACATTTACTAAATATCAATTGATTTTTAAGTGAATTTTTGATTTTTTTCACTTCTTTAAATTTTATTTTGTTGCAATTTCTTTTTACTATTACAAGTTTTGTGATCATGACCATCAACTGTAAGTGGGTACTGGTTGCTTGATTTACTTGTGATTTTTTTTTTTTTGTTGTTGAGGATGAGGATCTACTATGGATTTTTAGATTATGTCATTAGTATCTTCTCTTAGATGGGGGTATTGTTCCTCAAAGTTGTCTAATGTTGTCTCATTTTATATTGTACTAATTAGTATTGTTAGTCATACTACAGAAATGAAGTTGGATTGACGGCTCGTGATATTATTTTATTTATTGTTTTTTTGGACATGTAATGATCTGAAGGTGATTATTGATAAACTACAAAATTTCGTGGTAGTTGCAAGTACATGTTGCTCTTAAATCTTTAGATAGTTGTAGGTATCCAAATAATATGTTTTATAGTATATATTAAGAGTTGATATTATCAATATCTTTTACTAGACTACTTAAATAGTAACCACTTCCAAGATTCTAAGCCAATAGTAGATGCTAACAAGGCTTTTCTATCCGTTTCAATGTTAGATACTACTAAGAGGTTTTGGATCTTGGATGTGAATACATTTTTCAAGATAGACAACAATTCTTGTAGCATGGTGAAAGATCAATTCTTAAAATGAGCTTGGAGCATTTCTTTGCTTGATTGGAAGCTCAAATTTTAGACTTAGATGAAAAAAAACACCAAAGATCTTCCACTTTCAATGAGTGATATGCCTTTGATCTACTATTATAGCATTTGGAGCATGAGGTGCTTCAAACTTATGAAAGATGAAGTGAAGAATATTAATTTAATTTACAAAAAGTGAAACGTTATTGAGAGGTAAAAATAGACCTTATTCCAATTTTTAAATGATGTGTTATTTCAAGCATAATGCCTACAATGAAGGAAGAAGACACACTTAAAGAAGAAGTTGGCACATCATGGAAAGAAGCAAAAGAAAAAAGAGTAGCAATGACCTTAGAGAATACTTTATTCACTTTATTACAAATAGCTCAAGTAATAAAGGCAACTTTGTCTGCAATGAAAGAGCCACCATCATTTGAATCTCTCTAAATATTTATTAAACACTTAGAGAATAAATATGCTTGTTGTTAACCATACTAGTGGTAATAGGACTTGTGCTATACTTTTATATATTGTGATAGATTTTAATGCTCAACTAATTATGATTTGTAAATGGCTTGCTCAAAAATTAGATCTTACTCCCACAAACTTAGAGCCTTGTTCTTTTACCATTGTCACTTTAATAGGAGGCATGGAATAAACTACCAATTATACCATGCATCTATTGCAATTGATTTTTTGCATTAAACATGGATCTCTTTAATCACACTTATTACTTAAGTGTGCAATGACTAATACCACCAATTATGATCTTTTAATTAGTCAACAAGCACTTTATTTGTTTGATTTTGGTCTAAATAATTACATTGAAGAAGCATGGATTAGATTGAGATTGTCTATTAGTGATAGAAAAAAAGAATTTATTCTCATCTCAATTGCAATAACTACTATGATTATATTAGCAAAAATCTTATTTGTTTGTAGAGCATTGGCTTTAGACTTACCTTAGAGAATGATTCTACTGGAAGAGACATTAGCATTTATGTCTAATTTTATAGAATCATATAATCCACTATGTTTAGAAGCTTATATAAGATATTGAAAGAATGTATCTTATCTATAGAAAATACATGCAAAACTTTCTAGTTAATATCAAAAGATTGTATCTTTATTGGATATAATGAAGATAATAGATCATTCTTTATTATCTAGCTTTGATCAACTTATTCATTGGCATCCACTAGATAAAAGAGTTCTTTGCAAGTATTGATATAAGTTATGTAATAGTGTTCAAAGCCAGACTTATTGTTAGGTAGTACATTCATGTAGATACCAAGATGACACCTAACTAAGCAACTTAACATCTAATCTAAAAATTGTTAGCTTTATATTTTAAACAATTACAACCTTCTGCATTTTTTTGTCATTTAAGCCAATTCCATCCAAATGTCTTTCTCATTATTAATAAAGATTTTAGAATATTAGACTACATTGATTTATCAATTATTAAATGGCCTTATGAAGGTTAATCATATGTTTTAGTAATAAATATTTTAGAACATTAGACTATATTGACTTATTAATTATTAAATGGCCTTATCAAGATTAATCATATGCTTGAATAGGTCTAGGATTGAATAATACTTGATCTAATTTATTTAAAAATTTGATGTGGCTTATACAATGATAGTTTATGCATCAAACTACATTCTTTGGAAATATTTTTGAGTATATACTTTGATTTGGTGATATTCAAATACAAGTTTTGGAGTTTGGTTAATATATTCACTAATTTCTTAGTCCTCTAATCTTTGTAGATACTGTAACTTTAAGCTCTTATGACTATTGACTACATTGGATTTTTATTAATTTAATTTTTTCTCACATGTTCATTATAATACTTTTAAAATTCAAAAAACTTCTTTGACGTAAGATTTATGATATATTAGATAATAATCAACTTTCATTAGTTGTTATAAAAGCTAATGAACCTCTTCTTATCTTTGATAATAAGATGGTGGCATCTTATGGCACATTTCTTATATTTATAACATTTCCAATATTATTTGTATTTCAATTATGTAATCTTAATATGGTTTGAGATGCTAATTTTTAAAGTCATAAAAAACCTAATACAAATAAAAGAGAATATGCTATGGATTTTTTGATTAGCACCACAATTGCATATGATATTACAAAAGCTCAATGTTATTTTTTTCTAGGCCAAGAAATAGACCTCAATACTTTAGTGTGGATTTTTAGTATATGCTTTGTTATACAAAAGAATTTTAATGACCATTTTTTTTTTACTTTAAAGTCATAGAATAATAGCCAAAGAGCAATGAATCCTAAACTTACTTAGGTTGAAGAATCTGAGTGACTTTTTTGCTTTATGTAGCATACAATTAAAGAGTTATAAGCTCAATGTGCCTTTGCTACTTTGACCAAAGACTTAAAAAAAACAAATGCTAAAGAAATAATTTTATTAAAAAAAAATTTGTAAGATATTTTATATTGTATTAATATTGTTACTTCATATATATATTATAGTCATAAAGTCCTTCATTTATTTATAAATGAGAATGTTAGAAGTACAAGAGTTTTTTCTTTGATAGATTATTAGTTAAAGTTTGTACTAGCATATAATGGTACTCTATTCATAAAAAATGAGCATAAAATTTAATGATTGACTATTTGAATTAAAGCCACATCTTATTAATATCAAAGCATAAATGATATAAGATTTTATTTTCTTTTATCACAATTTTTTTTTCTTTAGTCTTGAAGACCTTGAAGGTTATAGAAGAAAATCTATTCACATATTGTTGGAAGATGATCACTTAATCTTTTGACAACCTTAAAAGCTTAATACCTTGAGAAAGTTGGCATCCAAGCTTATTAGTAAGAATTGTTTGTTGTAGGCTTAATTGATCTTTTTAATGATAAATATGTTTATACTATAGTTATACTTTTGAAGAAGGATGATTTTGGTAATTAAACAAAGAAGCAGATGTATAAAGACTACCATCATAATAATTATAAGATTCAATTTGTTTCATATCCAA